AAAAAAAAAAAAGGAAAAAAAAAAGAGAAGACGCTGAAGGAACACGACAGGCCGAGCGACCAAAGAAACATGGACAGAGAGCATTTTGTTCTTTCTTTCGTTCTGATTTCGTTTTTCTTTTTTCTTTTTGTTTTTTTGTCTTTTCTTTTCTCTTCGTTCTGCGTCTTACTGACAGAGAATTTGTTCAGGTTCTTTGAAACCATCTTACTGACAGAGAATTTGTTCAGGTTCTTTGAAACCGTACGTCGTTGCTCTCTGAACCGATCGACTGGTCCTTGGAGCGTGAAAAAGGTAAGCGATAGATTACTCGTTGAGAGATCGGACACTACGGCTCACTCTATTGAGAGAAAGGGAGAGAGAGAAAGAGAGAGAGAGAGAGAGAGACTAAATTATAACATGGAGAGAAAAGTGCGGATTAGAATGAGGAAGATTGTATGCGCTAATATATAGATTCGTGCAGCTTTCATTCAAATTTTTCTGCTATTTATATCAGTTTATATCGAAGGAAAAATTATATGGGTATCCATGGACGTAGAATTCCCATTTCACATAATGAGAATAGACATTTTCTAGAAAAAAGAATGATATTATTAAATTACTCATGTCTCGAATGTCTTAAAAACGTCCATGGATACCTTTCGAAGTAATGCAGCGAGAATGAGGAATGCGTGAAAGCGACGAGATAACTTAAACTTAAAACAGAAAGAGGTAGTTTCGAAAAAGGTAGTTCCAAATTCCGCTGAAGTTAAAGAAAGGGCCAAATCTTTTTGAGAACTGAGGCAAAGTACCATTCTGGTGCTCTGTCTGGAAATCGTGAAACTTCAAAATTACAACGGAACTGAAATGCGAAATTTCTCGAGAAGGAGCGCTATTCTTTTGAAACGAAAAACGCCAGTTCTCGCGGTTCTGGCTAATTCGGGCTAATTTCCAAAGCCCTCTCGGGCATCGTTTCGAACGACGAAAACCGAAAGAAAATGGAGAAAGAAAGGGTTTGCGAACGAAACTCTCGTGTTACCAAGGAAGCACTCACCAATTCCTTGCTATCTGCTTCGCGGGGTAGCTCGGAGCACGGGATGCTTCGCTCGGTCTCGCTCGCGCTCGCAAGGGGATGAAGCTGTTGTAGAGAACGGTAGAGAAGGACTCGAGGATGGATCGACGATAGACTGGTGAATCGACGACGGGCTTCGGGGTGGTTTCCAAGGGACTGCTTCCAGCCGAAAACGCCTGGACGACTCTCGAGCCTCGGCCTGACTCGGCCTGCCTCGAGTCTGCCTGACCCAGTTTCTCTCTCTCGTGCAACCCACGCAACTACCCCCAACCCGCGGCGGTGGTTGTTTTCGCGTGGGCGGAGCTAGGAAGCTCGTCGTATTCGCACGGGGATTGTTGAGAGAGATCGGTGCACGAGGGTGGCCAGGTAGGCGTGTCGATGCTTGGCCAATCGCCGTTTGAACGTCACGCTGACGTCAGAGGGTGTGTATGACGTATCGTTCGTCGCTCTCGCTTATCTCCGTTCCCTCTAGCCCCGAGGATAGATAGATACGCGAGGGTAGAGGTTTCTCCGCGTGCGGTTTTCACCACAGGGATGCCTGTGCATCGCCTCTACTCCCTTCTACGTGTTTACGAATGTACTCCGATGGTACTACTTAGCCGCGAAATCTCCGGCACGCTTGCCCGTTAGCCGAGATACACGCCGGGAGGGACACAGTATCGTGGACGAGTAGAAGCCTCTCGAGCGTGGTTAGCTTCCACGTCTCGTCGTCGTCGAGAACGCCGTGAAATAACTCTGCTCGCGGCCGAGACGGTCGTGGCCTCCCTGTTGTTGACTCGTTCCATATCTTGGACTATTATACTTTAACCTTTCGACATCCTTTTTTTCTCATGAAATCGAACATCAATACGACCGCGAAGATTCCTGGGAATTCGAATTATCCCCTGCTGAAAGAGATTCGAGTTGGTTATTGATAGAATTAGGCTTCCTAAGAATTCGCGGCTCCGCGATTCCTGACGTCACGTGTCCCAACAGTCTGTGCCACGGCGGAACGACGAAAAGGGTGGCAAGAAATCTGATTGCCGATTTTCTTTCGCGGAAAATGTCGCGACGCATGCGCCCCGCGTGTAGAACTTCCGTTCTTCGGCGCGAGTACTTTGTAACCGAAAGGAGACAGAGAGGGAACGACGGTTAGTTCCCTGCCGAGAGGATGACAAACAGGGAGGAAGAGGGAGGAACAGAGAAGGTTAGACGAGGGTGCAGAAGGGGATAGGAAGGACAAAATGGACGGCAGCCAATCGGATGGAAGCACAAAATGGCCGACGAATTTAATCAATACTTCCTCCGTCCTTCGCGAGAGGGTGGAGGACAGGGCAAGACCCAGAAACTTCCAGGGACGTAACAACCCCCGTCGTACGAGTGCACGTAATCGCATCATTGAGGTCGATACACCTTACCTCTCGTTCGTACGTTCCTCAGACACCCGTTACATGCGCCGGCGAATATGAGTTTCCACCTTTGTTAACGATCCTCTTTGTCTCTTCGCTGTAGCTGCTCGCCCCCGCGTAAAATCATCCGTGACGCGCATTCTCAGAATGAGAACGTGCGTTCAACGAGAAGGGCGTCGTTGATTTTTATTTGCCTCTTCTCCCTTTTGAAGTGAGTTTTTTCGAAACGTCGTTAATTGGAGCACGTAGGTAAAGAAGTTCTCTGGTTGCGACGTCGATTATTTTGTTAAATCAGAAGTCTAAAAGAAAGAATCTCGTGAAGATCGAGTGGTAATTTGATCTGTAATTTGTGGAGATTTTTGCCGCAGTGAAAACACTTTAGAATTGAATTGTCGCGTGCCCGAGGAAACAATCCACTTTGATTGTGAGATTTTTAAAAATTCATTTTTGAGGCTTGAAACAGAATTCAATGAATTGGAATGACGTTTCGTAACGCGAAGTAATTTGAATTTAAAAGGTTCGATTAAATGGAACCGCAGTGACATTTCAATATTTTGGAACAGCGATGCAGTTGTATGGAAAATCTGGTTTGGGGAAAGGTGGTGGAAAGAGATTCAACAGATTCTCGCGCGCCGGTGTTACTTCGCACGGAAAGTTTAAATTGAAACGATGCAGCCCGAAGCGACCGGGAAAAGAATTCTCCGTTGCCCCGGGATAAATTTCTTGATGGTACTATCGGTTCAGGGAATGCAAATTACTTGTGTCCAAGTTCCTTCTTTCGCTCTTTCCCCCGCGGCTGTTTTTTCCGCGTTTTCTCGCTTTCCATTCTTGCGAGAGAGAGTTACCTCGATCGAAGTGGGCAAAGTGCATACTCGTTCTCTGATAAGATTGGCGCCATTCTGGATTTCATTGTTTATTTGATTTGGAGAGACGTCGATATAGAATGCGTGATTTTTAATGGCAACGAATATTCACTTTTGATCCAGTTATTTTATGATTCTTCATATTCAACGAAAATTAAAACATCAATATTCATATGCACAATTTTCTTTTTCTAAATTGTCTTAAATCGTCGAATGCCCCTTTGTCGAGTATCAAATGAAAAATCAATGAAGCAAAATACGAAGGAAGATCAAGCGTAGCATTTCTTAACTCTGTTCCAGCGTGTCGGATTAAAATAAGGGAGGAGGATTGAACGTGATTTCGTTAATTCTCGGTTAAAAGAATCTTTGAATTTATTTCAGAACAGCGGTAATTTATCTCATTGCCAGAGACAAAATTGAACTAGTTCGAAGGCACGATTGAAACACACGACAAACGATCGATACTCGACATACGCGATAGTACACATCATCCCCGGTGTACACAAGTATACGTGTACACGCGAATGAGTTGCGCGTGAATGTGAATATTCATGGTGGCAGAGACAACGAGCTCGTTTGTCTCGTGGAACGAATTTCGAGTTACCTAGATTGAAAACCCGGCGAGTTTCGTTCGCGCGTTTATCTCGTTTCAGGGGAGAAACGTTATTTTTCATTGGGAAGCACGATGTTTGCGAAACTGCAAACGCTTGGGGGCTGCTTTCAGGAGGAATTGTCCAATGCCTTTGAAAAATTGAAAAATTCAGCTTGTAACATCGTGCAAATCATTCCTAACAGGTAAACATTATTTAATTCTCACTATCTTACGAGGATCTGACATTTTTCTGTTGCGTCGCCTTTGATTATCGTTATCAGCATCGTGCGATATCGTTCCATGGACGAACCACTGTAATCTTCAAGTCAAAATGATCGAACACTTCTCATGGTGTGTGACAATTTCGCGTCACGTATAGATACCTACTTGTTGAAACTTTACGACTTACGATTGAAATTATTGCACTTTATTACATTGCTTTATTATCTTTCGTTATGAATGATGATAAGAAACGGAAAAATGTATTATTGTATCGTCATCCAGCCAATCTCTGTTTCTTGCAATGCTATTGGCTACCGCTTGCAAACGTAATCGTAATTGATTCCTCTTACTGACGTAACATACAGATACTTCAATTTTTTCTTGTTCACGCGCTAAATCCTCGACTTGATTAGTGCACTCGTGTTTCACTTTTTTTTTTCTTTACGAGAGAAAAATAATAATTCCTTGTAGTGTCTTTATCGGGTAAGAAAATCAAGAAATACGCGGAAATGTACATTACATGTGTTCTTATAGATAATCGACAGGTGTGCACAAGATCGTTTAGAATTCATCGTTTCACGAAAATGAATGCTTAAAATTTAGACTTTGGTTTAGCGTTTTCTTTTTTTTCTTTTTTTTTTTTTTTTTCTTTCGAAGGGGCCACTGACCCTTCGAGAAAGAAAACGAACGTGAACGGAAAAGTGGCCTCTGCGTTATCTTTCATTACGCTTCTTGAGTACGTTTGTTTGTAATCAGACTGTACCAGTTGATACAGCCAATGATAGTTAATGCGATACACGCTGTTGGTGATCAAACAGTCGAGCCAGTGGTGTGCATCGCGAAGCTTCAAATCTCACGTTCATTTGTCGGATCGTAAAGTAGATTTACGATTAATGTCGAAGGTAAGTTATCATTTCGTATTGGTCTTTGAGGAGCTATCAAACTGAAACTAAAATACCGAATCTGATTGAATCACGTGGAGAATAAAGTCAATACTATCGTACGATTTTCGAAAAAAAAATTCACGTTGCAAGTGCCAAGAAAAATTTATAATTACGAAATTTTCTCGGAAGAGTTTTCTGTTTTTAAAAATTCAGTTTTCATGAAAATTTACAGATTGGTCGTTTAAAAAATTCGAATCTCTCATTGTGAGTTAAAGACGTATCATGTTTTCAAACGAAATAAAAATGAATGAGAGTGAAAATCCAATGAGACGAATAGTCAAATCTCTTCCCGATATCTCCGCCGTGTCCTGCTTTCGATAATGAAAGAGGAAGAAAACAGGGACGTCCTGATTCGCGAAACAAGTTCACGAAATCCTTTGTCAGGTGTAGATTTCAATTTCTCGACAGAAAGGCACGAATCTCCACGCCTGGAATTATGAATTTCCATTTATCAGACCGAAAAGCAGCTGGCATTCCCTTCGATCGCGTTAATTGAAAGAAAAGTTACACAATTGATCATTTAACGAGGAAATCCCCCGAGTGAGATTAAAGTTCATCCTCGTAAATCTTCGATTGGGAAAAAGCTTCGGGACAACTTGAGAAATAAAGGCGTTTATCTATAAGAAGGCATGGGCTCTCGGCGGCAATTAGTAGAATTTATAGTAAAGTTTGCCCGCACGAAACTCGAAACGGTGGGTTCAGTTATCGGCACACGGCGCCTAAAACCGATAACGGATATCAAGGTATTCTGGTATTACTCTCTCCGCGTACCAACCAAACTTGTGGCGATACAGTGTGTCTCGTGATACCTGAATCAATTCCGCCGGTAATAAGAAATAATCTTTCTCTGGTAATCGCACCAGAATAGACGCCCCCGTTTCATATGAATTTCGTGCGGTTCTCAACGTTCAGAATTTTAGATGGTCGAGAAATAATTATTTTCAACCTCTGAATCATTGCTCAACGCTCTCTCAATCGAGGAATTTTCTGGAAAAACTCACGAGTCAATGTTTTAAAACATTCATTCCGCCTGCAATATGGATATACTTTAAACTTTAAAAAATTAATTACGTAAGTGAAAGACACACTTGTCGAGTTGAAAATTATTAGAATAAAAGGACGCAATACAGAGGAATAATTCTCAATTATAAAAAAAAAGTGAAAGTTAAATACAATGTTATCGTCTCGATACATTCTTGGTATTCACGTATCTACTTTCGTTCGCTTTCTTTCCGAGAAACATCGTCCGCTGTTGATCGCGAGTCACCCCGTATATATCAGTCCGAGGCATACCGGTGGAGAAAGAGAGCTGCAGGAAATTCCCGATTGCCGTAACCAATCCCTCCGATGCCTCCTCCGGCGACTATCGGAACGCGGCGAGTTCCTCGTTTGCTTTCCGTATTGATTAGCCATCACTTTCAGATGACGCCTCTACGTCGGTGGGTGTTGCTGGCGTTGCTGTTGGCCGCGGTGGCCGCGCATCCGCTCGAGCACGCATGCGTCCACCTCTGCCGTGCACGGGACACCAGCCCCGAGAAGATCACGGGAGTCTGCCAGCACCAGCAGAAACTCGTCCTTCAGTCCAGCGGTGGCCGGTTCCCGATTCACCGTCTCTTCAGTCTCTGCTTGACCCCGTGTCATGGCTCGTCGGATCTCCTCGTCTTCGAGGACAGCCATGCCTGTCGCACGTTCAGGGAGACGCTTATCCAGTATCACGGTTGTTCCTGCAACGACGTAAACCGTGAGGTGGCGAGGAACGATGAAGAAGATCCTTGGAGAGGCAAGCAACTCGAGGAGGATCAGTCGAGGAAGGCCGGTGAGTCGAAGATATTGAAGAAAGCCGACGACGAGCAGGTTCCGGCTGACGTTCAGGGTCAAGGTTTGAAGATGAAAGATCTTCCTGCCACGAAGCTCGAAGTGGGGGAGGACATGTTAGACAAGGCAGACGTTGAAGATGCTGGTACCGATGACGCGGATAAGGGAGCAAGCAAGGAGGAGTCCGAGGACGTTGCTGCCACCGGCAACGAAGCAAACACCACGGATGAAACGTCCGTAGACTGGGACCGATGGTGCATGGCTCAATGTGACAACGGTAACGGGGGCAGCGCCTGTCATTGTGACTTGATACCGTGAAGAGGCGGAAGAGGGCTTACGAAGGGATGAGGAGAAACAGACTCACGAATTCACATATCTCGTAGGTTAGTCGGGGCAATGGTACCGATAGATAGTATAAGGTTAGTCTCTTCTAGTTGGTCGATAACACGTAAAACCGCGTTTTCGTTTTTTATTTTCTTAATCTCTACTCGTGCCCTCCGTTAATCCTTTAGGGAAGCTGCGACTCGTGTATACAGTTCCAATTATCGCGGATCAACAAGATAGAAAGAGAGAGAGAGAGAGAGAGAGAGAGAAAGAGAGAGAGAGAGAAGTGTCTTTCGTGTCTTTTATCTGAGGATGCTTTCGATCCACCTGTACGTTGTTGATCGATCGATCAGCATCGAGACGCGTCGATCGACGTGTCAGTGGAATTTTTTCGAAACGATCGCGACCCGCGATTATTGGTCGTTAGGCGGCTTAATTGCTTTCTTAGGCTTAAGAGACTTCTCTAGACGCTAGGTCCGGTTCACGCGCTTAACAGGGGAGGGGAGGGGAGGGGAGGGGAGGGAGCAGGAGCTTAACGTCCAAGGAAACAACTTTTTATCAGGCTGCAATAGAGGGATTTTTCTTCGAGACGAAGAAGATTTCTGGTTGCCATCAGCTATCTACCGTACTTTACGATAAGAACGACACTTTCTTCGCACGGTTAGGAAAGACGAGACTAGAGAACACTGTGAGCAGCATCGTTCCGACTCTTGAAGCGTGTGGACGGGACAATAAAGTGCGATGTGTGTATTATGCAATAAACGATATTTATACGTGGCCGCGATGCAACGAACGCGTGCATCCGCGCGTCAATACACGTCTATAAGATTCCTTCTAATTGTAACGAATAATCTTTTACACGATTTTAACGATAATCATTGTACTTAATCGTTAGGGTTTACACTAGGGTTAAGATATTTGTTAAGGGAAACGAAGCAAGAATCCATGTCTTCCAATTTCGTAGTCTCCTGGACACTTCGCGTGTGATCGAGCCTAAAGCATGATCGGATATAACAGGAGAATAGAACAACGCAAGCATGCGAGTAATTGTAGTTTGTTGTTTAAGCGATTATTTTTTAAACGCGACCACGTTCCACTTCGAAGGGAATCGATGGTGGTTATTAAACCACGATTCCTCGAATTCCTTGGGGTAAAGCGTGCGTTTGTTTATTTTACATAGTGTGCCGTTTAAAAGAAGAAGTAAAAAAAAACGTTGTGACGCGACAATAAGACGTAGATACTAGTATGCCTGTGTGATGCAAAACTCTGTCTTTCGCGCACTTTTGACACACACATCCACCTGTTAAAGACATAGAAAATATAGTTGAAAGATATTCTCGTATGTATTACGTGATTTTGAAGTTACAATAAACACAGCGAACAATAAGAAACTGATTTTTCTGTGAGGATCGATCTGCACATCGAAATAATTCTATAATTACAGTCGGTAATGCGCGAAAGACTCAACTTCAGCAATTTATTATCTGGGCTACATATAGTCGTAAGTGAAATAATTGCTTTGTAAATATTTTTACCACATAATCGGAGACTTTATTTAATTAACAATATAATATCGATGAGTCGAAACTTTGGGGTACCAATTTACAAATCTAGGATGTAATCTGTACAATTTAATCGTTGTTAAGATTAATATGTATTCTGAAATGTATATGTGGTTGCTGCAGTCGTGGAATAAAATAGTTAAACTGTATCATGATAACGAATATTACGCTCAAAGGCTCGTAATCGTCAGTAAATTTATAAGCTGTTCTGTGTCTCTATATTTCTATTATTTATGTTTGTGGTTGTACATTATGTATATATCGTATAAGTGAACGATATTCGCATTATGTTTTGTCATACGATAAATAAAGAACACTATAACCTAAGTGATACATTTTTTAAACAAATTCTCGTGAAATTTAAGATGTAAGAAATATATTTATAATCGATACTTTCGTTAAATAATCGAAAAAATAAATGTAAAAGAAATTTACACCAAATATCTTTGCTTTATCATTCTCTTCTTTATCACTCATAGAATGATAATTTATCGACATTTATCCGCTGTAGATATTTATGTTAGATACCTACTGTAGATATTGATTTGTCAGATTTTCTGCTGTGGGTATTGATCTATTAGATTACCTACTGTAGGTATTGATCATAAACACAAATCATGTCATTAATTCTGTAACTGTATGAAGTTCCATAAACTGCCAGGTTTCTTCTCCGTTATAGATGTCTGTGTTACATTCTACTGTTTCTTCAGTAGATAATGTAGAAAATCATGGATGGAAGTAGAAATCTTCTGATCTTCAATCGATCAAGTAGAACACTGATACAAATTTTTATCAAAATATTAATTTTTATTTGCCTCAATAAAAATATCGCAATGTTTAAAAAAAATATTAACATTTTTGCACACACAATCTTTCTTAAATTACAAAATTCTTCAACATTCATAATTTTACGAGGAAAGAAGAACAAAATAGTATTTTTAGTAATATTGTGTTAAAAAAAATTAATAGTGATGTATAATAACATTGCAGTCTGACGCAATATTATTTATTCTGTTTTTTTTTATATTTATAAAATATCTTGTCTCTCATGATAGATTCTTATTTCCCTCGGGATAAAAAGTAATCAACGGTGTCTGTAATTCAGTTTTGTACGTGATTACTTGTAACACTGTTCTATAATAGTATTACAGCACATATCTCGACGTGCAGTTCGGTCCCTTATAAAAGCCGGATCTTCTTCCGAAAGCAGCAGATCACATTCTCCTTTCCAAGAAGACATCTTCCATCTCGAGGTAACATCGCAGACACAGCGTCGTAAGAAAAAACTTTTCATATTTCTAACATCTTTTTACTTCACGGCATAAATTTCCTTCGCATTCTGCTACATGAAAAATCTAAATAGTTGTCTCGTGATATTTTTAAATTCTCTTAAAACCCACTGATTCATATTCTCTATTTGAAGTTTCACGTAAGTGGTTTCATATCTTTTCATTATTTCTGCTGATTGCGATCGCGATACGGAATTTTAATATTTCAAGTCGATACACTCTTAGATGAATTTCTTGATAAGTTCATTTGCGAGTAATGTAGACCATCTGCGTTTGATAGGGACATTTGTCTTCGGTTCGTTTCTCCGCTATAAAAGCTCCAAGCTTTTGCTTTGTTTGCAACATTCGCTGACCAACTACCGTGCAAGTTCTGTCGTTACCACATTTGTAAGCAAACTGACCGTTTCTATAGAACATTTTATTTTTTTTCTTTTGAATATTAAACAATTTGACTTGGAAAATTTTAGTATCATATTATATGTATATTATATTACATATTATATATTATATATTGTATTCTTTGATTTCGAACAGCAAACCAAAATCATCAAAATGGTGTCTATCCGCCTCGTTTTTACAATCATTGCCGTTCTTTTCGTCCTCGCTGTCACCGTGAACGCTGCCTACAGAAAACCCCCGTTCAACGGTAGCATATTTGGCAAAAGATCCAACACTATCACTGGTAAAATGAATATTTCAAATGTATCAAATACTTCCAGAACTTCTCGAACTAAAAATTTATATTTCATTTTATTTTACCAACTCTTGTACTACAACACACGAGCTTTATTTTTTATTTGTCTCCGATTACATATGTTACTTTGTATCTAGTTAAATATGTTACTTTTTCATTTCGTTACATTCACTAAATTTTCCTTCGCGTATTCTCCCGTGTTTCTTACACTTTATTTTATATCATAATAAAATTCTTAGACTTTATTTCATATCATAATAAAGTTCCATTATTGTTCTTCCTGGTAATTTCCTGTCAGAAATGATATTGCTACGTGTGATGTTCCACAGATTACGAAATCACCAGCCGAGCCATGTCTTCGATCTGCGAAACGGTCAGCGAAACATGCAACGCCTGGCTGGGACGACAGGACTCCAACTAACGATATTGAACACGCCAGGATTCAATTGGACACGCCGGATGCTAATATACTTATTGTTCGATCACTTCATCAACGTGTAACAGCTAGCCTATGATAATTGTATTAATAGTTAATTCTACAATCACTTTCTGATGCTTTGAGATTCGTCGCATCGTCCAAATCACTCGTCCTCTTGTAACTATGTCGCTTAGATCTCAATTAATCTCACTGTGTACATGTTTCTCATATAATAAAGTCTGATGGTTCCTAATATGAACTGACATTAATTCAATCTTAATTCGTTCATTCTCCACCTTCGTGTGAAGATTCCTTCTTCTCCATATTTTTTATGTAAAGATTCTTCTTTCATCAGTTTCACTTAATTTCCAACATTTTTATTTTTCCAACATTAAATATTTCATGTCTGGAAAACTGGATAATCATTTGTCGTACGATTTCTAGACTTTTTACAGGACTTGGTGACGTTATCTAAAAGTTGAAGATGGATTCAAGATATGATTTCGCATATTCTTTCGAGAGAGAGAGCATTTCGATTTTAAGTAATTTACATAACGCGAAGAGAAGTTCAATGAAACTCTTTCCAACATCTGAAATGCAGATCGAACGATTCGATATGGAGAGCACGTTTCATTCACCTGCCGGAATAAGGGTTATGCTTGCGTGTGAACGAAAAGGCTTTCACGAAAATAAGCGGGAAAATAATTGTCTGGCCAATCGACGATTCCCTAAAATTAAAATAATGTAAAACACTGAAATCTCGAATGAAAATATCCCACAGTCAAGTTAAAACAAAAATGTCCAACCTCGGAAAATTCTCATGATTTGTTCGACCCATGACCGTTATGTTCGAATATGTGACAGACAAAAATTATTCAGCGACGATCGTTCGACTTGGAATTTATTCGACGAGAGGATAGGGGTGCAACAAGTGTCAGCATCGATTCACGTTCAAATCAACCTGATCGTAATACCTAATTGATTCTAAATCTCTGTATAAATAGGGGGATACCTGACGATTCTGGTTCAATGTATCGTGACCACGTGAAGGTAAGTGCGCTGGAAAACCGCAAAATATTTCGCAAGAACGATTCAATTTTCTCTGCTTTACTCTGGCTTCCTCAGATAAACTTTCACACAGATATGTATTCACGTACGACGACTACGGGGGAAGAATATTTCCTATCTTTTACACAAAGAAACAGTTTCAAGATCCATTTACATAGTCGATCTCACACTACAAAAATTGTCTGTCTATTTTTACGACAAAAAGAAAACAAAGTGAATCGATCATTTCGTCCATTCTGGAAGATACTGAAATGTTGCTAGTCTGAATAAATAATAATTTTACAAAACTGCGCCAACTTGCCAGCTACTTTTTCTAAGATTAGCTTACTTTCATTTTTCGATTGTGTCGCATAGAAATACTCCCGTTTAATCGTAAAAATGTCTCGTTCTTCTCCTGTCGTCTTCGCGTTGATTCAGCTTCTTCAAATTCTACAGTAAATTTGTGTGATTAATCTTTTCATAAACACTAAATGTCGAGAAAGAGAGAGAGAGATCGAAAACGTAAATCCTAAATCTTCAAATTGATAGTATATTTCAACGTCGAGCGTGAAGTAGCTAGACTATGATGGAATGTACACGTGGGGTAGATTTCTCACGCAAGATGATCGTGCAGATGCTACGGCAAACATTCGGGATATTTAAATGCGGCGGAGCTTCGCCGTGCAAACTCTCTTATTCCTTTCGCCCACGGTGCAAGAGTATTCTGTCCACTCCTCTTCGCGATAATGGAAGAAGTCCTAGGAAAAATCGCTCAGTTTCCCCCATACAGTCGTGGAACGCGTGTCGCGTGCATTTCTCTCTCCTCGCTTGTCCCAGACATCACGATACGACTTTTCGCGGACAACGACGATGGTCCAACCCGAGAGTGGACGTGGTCGTTGATAAATAAAGCTCCTCGTTAACGAAATCATAGTGCTTTGCTGATCGAACGATTTTCACTTGAACACTTGAACTGATTGGTAATCGACCGACAAGTTTTGCAGATTCAAGGCGACACGAAGATGACGAGTTTGCGTGTTTCAGGATCCTCGCGACGTCTGTTTGTTGGTGGTGAGTTTTACCTTTTTTTTCTTTTTTTTTTTTCGATTGAAGAGTCGTGGCGACAGTGAGTTTCCCGAATGTTTTAGCTCTTTTGGTTGGCGTTTTGGCACTGCTGATTTGTGAGAATGCGTCCGAAGCTGATGAAGTACCAGCGTTCTTCTTGAAAATCGCGAAGAATATTCCACGCGTGGGACGTAGCGAGGGAAACAATGATTTCCTCAAATCACGAAGAAACATTCCTAAGGTTTCGGCTCACGGCAATGCACAAGTATTGAGATCATTTTGCAATTTTAAAAAATTTTAACCAATCCATTCTATCAAGTGCATCAGTACCTTACACAGTAGAATAAGTGATTCTGATCAGACAGTGCACTTGTGGGAATTCTTGCTTCGCAAAGTCTCTAATTGTTCTATATAAAACCAATGTATCTTTTCTACGTTTTTTTAAGACTGAATCTTGGCCATCGTACGCTAGCGACGAACCATTCTCAAGACCCATAAAAAGACGCGTGATACCGGTTGATGGTAATAAATTCACTTTACGATAAGTCAACTCCTTTGTCAACCCAAAAGAAAGATTAGACTAGAGAAATGTAATCGAACGAAGGTAGGAAAAAAGGATTATTCCTGAAGAAACATTAAGCGATTCTTTCAACAGATGTATGGGCCTGGCAACACTTCCCTCTAGCGATAGAAGGCCCTCGAGAACTTTGGCAAACTTTGGCTGGCTACTCCAAGGACACGTCGGACGAGTGAGTCTTTAAAACATTCTTCGAGCAAGAGCATCAACTAATCTAAAAGTTCGATTAATTCTGCTTTCGTCTCTGCGCTTCCATTTTACAAAAGCGTCGACAACGAAATATGGACACGGAAGAAGAGAACCGGCGACGAGCCTGTGGCTTCGGAGGAGAATTAGCATAAGCGGAGCTACGTGACGACGTTACGGTGCCCATGGTTGAATATACTTAATGGCTGTTGTCGGTGTAAGGTGTTGGGTAAAATATTGAGAACAATAAACATGTAAATAGGAGATGTAACACTTTCTCTGGAGAGCGTATTCTCTTCCCTATTTAAAATTAAATCTTTATCTTGGAATTTAGTGCATCCTAATCTCGCCTGTATTACAATAGCCTTTCATTCGTGTATCTTGGTTTAAGTAACATCGGTGCAAACGCGATCCTGCATATGTTAAAGAAATTTCATCGCAATTTTCCGCAGCACTGTTTCTTTTACTTTCGTGTTTTTTTTTTATTTGTGCTTTTATCGGTGTTACGTTACGTTACTTAAGGGTTATCATTACTCGAGAGTGCAATTGCCGACGCCAGTCATGGGACATCAAATAGAGGACAGCATGTAATCTGAATTTCGTTGCCAAATTTTGCTGGCAGATGGTTTCGCGTGTGCCATCGATTGCAGCCCCTTGAAAAAAGGAGACAAAAATATACGACCGACAGACGCTCGCTGCTTCTGTATGTGAAGCAGTCCGAGAATCGAACTGCGCAGGGTAACATCGATCTTGTAAACCTTTTCTTGATACATTAGACAAAATTGGTCTTGAATTTCAGTGTTAGCTCTTCTTAGAAAAATGCCGGACGAAATATATTCCCATTAATAAAACTCCTTCCTTTTCAAGATAAACTTTTTCAAAAAATTTGACTGTATATAGCAAGATTTCAAAAAAAAAAAAAAAAAGAAAAAACTGAGAGTTTGTAAAATTTAAAATAACAGATTAAAATTGTAATATTTTTATGAAAAGTCTATCTTGCGCTTCGCCGTGTACGTTGAACATTGGAGCACAGGGTTGCAACAATATGCAATATAATGCATATGCCGATTCTGAAAAAGGAATAGGTTAACCGACGCCAGTCCTCGGAAGGATCGTATAATCGCGAAATTGCAGTTTCAGGCGTCCCCTGCCAGTCGTCATATGGGAAATAATTTTCCTAGACGTTGTGCTTGAAACGTGAGCGTACATATATGTAAGTACTTACACGACAACCGACTCTCGCATAATTGTCGATTATCGATCTCGCGTGGCGTGCGTACGAAATGACAGAGGAAAGGGTCACATAATATCGCGAAGTCTCTTACATCGTATGCAGTCACCGTGAAAAGTGTACAAAACAAAAAGTACCACCACCCCTTCTTCCGTTTTGTCATTCATTCAATTTGAACTTCTTCATCTGAACCGTGTTCTCAACTCTGTCCATTAAAATTCTAAGCGACGGAGATTTCTTCTCCCGGTTCCTTATCTTCTTTCAAATTTTTACGAAACGAAGATCACACTATTTAATTTATTAAAAAAAAGTGAAAAATTTCATTTACTAATGTGCGAAGTTAGCATGAATTTTTAATTTTTTAACCAGAGATGCATCATCACGGAATAAAACCAGCATCAATACAAAATTCTGAACTGGTTTTTCAGTAGAATAATTTCAGTTATAATTGTAAAATCTTTCGATCAGTTTGTAACACATGTTGTTGAGACTATAGGTGGGAAGAACAGTTGATGTCACTTCGAGATACCCTTATTACATATAATCTTCTATAACATTTACTATCAATAAAAATATAATAGAAAATAAATATATAGGTGTCGTTATTTACATATCTCAACTCCTGTTCTATTCCATATTCTGCTTCTTACGTCTCCTATTTTATATTTCATCCCCACAGCCATCTCTGACGCACATTTCTTTTACCCTACAATACATTCCACTACTAACATTTTTATTCCGTATTTAATATCAAAGATAAAAATTTCCAGAAGTGCCTACTAAATATGTGAGTTTTGTGGACTATGGGATTTATTTTGTGGGACGGAAAAGTTCGGATGTACCCACAAATTAGCTTCGTGGGGCTACGAAATTCATTTTGTGAGCATTTAGTTAATGATCTAATTGGAAGATGGTATTATCGGGATGTATAAAATGAGTTGTACAAATAGGATAGCTGCTGCGGAATCTAAAGAAAGGAATGACGTAAGCTGGAGATTATTGAATATGGGATATAGGAAATACAGTTATGATATATAGAAATATTGGAGGCAGGTTATGATATGTGGACTACAAGATAGGTTTGAAAAAAAGACCTGGAATGTAGTATGTATGATATATGATTATCTGTGAATTGTGAATTGTGAACTGTCGCAAAATTTGGATAAGAAATATAAATCAGATATACCAGACATAAAATAGAAATAGGAAGCGTCAATATGAGCGTCAATATGTGATGTATGAATATAAAAGATATCTATATATAATTTAGAGCTATGGAATATGGAATACACATAGGTAGAAAGAAAATTACGGAATTGGATTTACGTAAAATAGGGCGAAAAGTTTAATATATATTACATAGGGTGTAAAAAAATTGAGATGCAGATATTACATAAATTGTGGGATTTAGAAGGAAGAGTGTGAAACGAAGAGAGGAAATATCATAGTTTCAAACTACAGAAACATACTTATCTGGAATACCGAATTACCACAATGAGATAAATCTCCTTCCACAACTCTGTTATCATAGGTAGTCAATCGCAGTGAAATATTTCGACAAAAACTGGAAACGAGCAGCGTACGAAACTTGAGCTTGCGAAAACCATCTCCGATAACAGACGCGTGGAATTTGTTTAAACAAATTGTTCGAACGATATTTGAAATAAACATTCAGTTTGGTAGATCCATTGAGAGATGGCGCCGTACTCTTAGAACGCAGCACCAACTTGGCACGTCGACCAAGAGCTGCCGCCACCAATATTTCTCGTCGACCAACTCCTCCCTGCCCTCTCCAATCGCACCCCCGGAGACAATAAATTGTTGTAATTACAATAATCCCGGTGTTTAAATCAATGGTCGATGTTTACGTGCAGGCGGTCGTGTAACTGGTAATTTTAAATCATTGCCAACGAGTGGTGCTCTCTCGGTGGATCTGTCTCTTTCCTCGTTCCACCGATCGCGATAATTCCCAACGTAATAAACCGGGCCGAACAATGAAACGCACTAAGCTCCCAACCGAAGACCTAGATTCGCTACACGACACGACACGACCAGACACGACACACGGTCCCGTCATCGATAGACTGCTGGTACAGCTTTCTAAACATCGGCTAATTACCCCGTGGGCCAGGCCAGAGAGCGCGCGCAATCCTCGAAGAAGCGTTGCTCGGCAGCAGCCGCCGCCGTAATTAAAAGCCGCGCGCGCTCTCCCGACTGTGTTCCCTCGAACCAGCGACCCATACATCTCCGCGTAAACTTTCCAAATAATTATACCAAGTATTATTTAATTCAAGTAATGACTACCGTGGCGAGCCGGCTGCTGCAACAACACTACCGAAACAGAAGAAGTGGTTGCAGAGGCGGAGGCGGAGGAGAGAGAAGAGAGACGTATCGGAGAGGAGAATTGGTCCTGCAGCTTCTCTTCATGTATCTCTCTTACACTTTCTTTCTGTACTTTCTTCTCTCTCTCTCTCTCTCTCTCTCTCTCTCTCTCTTTTCGGTTCCTCTACTCTCCTCCACACTCTCGTGCCAGCGGATAATTCGCACGTACGACGTTTTCACCTTTCCGTGCGGCTAGGTAACCGCCGCGCGGCGTCGATTTTTCGCTGAATACCCTCGCGTTTCCGTGAACAGCCGTAACAGCGAGGCATCCAACCACCGAACAACCGACTCCCATCGGCATCGGTTGTATTTTCTGGCGCGCGAGATGTTCTCCAGAAGGAGAAGACAGAGGAGAGTACTACCTACTACACGGGGACGAGAGCAGCACTGCGAACCAGGCCCAGGCTGGTTTGCACGTAGCAATTTACGGAAACCGCACGTAACGCGCGTTCCCCGTCAGCCGGAGGAGGCGGAGAGACGAGGTGAAGTCGACACGGAGCGTTTCCACGGAGTGTTACGTAACGGATCGGCGCTAGATCGCCGGCCAGAGTAACTGTATTTTCGAAGAAGAGGCCTCCTCCGTGGCCGAGGCGAAATCACGAAGCAGAACTTCGCCTCCGGGACCAGCGACGCCGTTCCTCCGCTTCCATTCTGTGTCGGTTTTAGCGTTTCGTAAGGTCAGTCAGGGTTGTCTCGGTCAGACTTCGACACCTCGAAAGTTCAAGCTTGAACTCTGCACGGAATAAACGAACTCGGCGTATTTTACTGTCAATTTTTCCTATTTATGAAAAATTTGAAGACGCAAGGGAGAATAATAAACTTTCTTTGACATTTGGCAAACTACATTATTGAGAAAATTGTTACGTTCGAAATTTTTTGTAACTTGTTACATTCAAAAAATTTATAAGCTTTCATAAATATTTGTAGTCTAATTAGCACATGCTACGAATGTTTAATTAAAAAAAAAAAAAAAAAAAGAGAGAAATGGGAAAATGTTACGCATTAAATTATGATACTTGTAGATAAAAATTAGAAGAATCAGAAGACTTAAGAATTTTTCATAGTGATAAAATTTTTTCTTAAAAATGAGTTCTTCTGTCCTTCAAAGAATTGACAGAAGATACCAGAAAAAAGATGATGGATTCTGTGGTATATTGATAATTTTTATTGCCTCTGTTAAGTTTATCTGTGCGAATATAGTAGGTGGGTATAAAAGCTGTGTATTGATTAGAATAATTGAAGGATTAGTTCCATTGAAAAAACATAAATTTCTTGCAGACAGTAGAGATGCGAAGGTGTTGGAAAAATGATACAGTGTTGTACGTAAATGAAGCGCGTAGCGCTAAAAAAAGTTTCCATTTGTTTCTGCTTGAAGATTGATTAGGTATTTGATACGCGTAGAAGGTTATATGCTTCAGGTTTGATGTATAATACATGAATTTCTTTAGAAAACAGTTTCAATTTTTTTTCCAATCCAATGATAAAACTCTATAGTATTCATGGTATAATTTTTTCAAGACGATCAAAGTACACAGAATCCAGATAGGTTAAGGTCATTGATAAATGATCGATATTAAAACTTTGTACCGAATACTCGTATATTTCCTTCCTCGGTAATGCGACAGCTATAATTTTTCTATCATCTCTCGGTATAAACACAGATTACGATTACTTGGTTCCCACTTTGATTCCACTTTGCAATCAATTCAAATGATC